TTTTTTGTTTTTTGTCCACTCATTATTTTTTTATTAATAAATTTATAAATTACTCCTCTAAAAAGACAAGTTTTTGAATATTTTATTGTTCAAACGTCATTGCAGAAATATAGTGCAATATACCGCACAATAGCGTGAAATAACGCAAAATAGCGTAAGAAAGCGTGTCGTTTCAACATTTCGCGTAAGCTTTTCGGGAAAAATGCTAAATATATAAGGCTACGTCGCGTTTTTCCCGAAAAAAAGCTATATAGTGAGCAATAGCGAGCTATTTAAAAATGGTTGGACTGCACTATTTTTCCCCCGTTTCTTACATACTAGATACTGAATTAATATGGTTTTATCAAATTTGAGTATTGTTTTACTGTTTGATTGGCCAATATGCAGATATGGACTACGAAACAGGACACATGCTTGCTTGACTTGAAGGAACATACCAAAGTAGGACATCAAGTTTTTGTCTATGTCAGTCGGTTACACTGTAAAATAAGTTTTCTGATGTGTGCACTGTTTTGTAGGAGATATATACTGTGAGATGGAGTCCAACAGGGCCTGGGACCAATAACCCTAATAAGCAGTTGGTGCTGGCTAGGTAAATTTTTTTAGCTTTAATAAATTTAATATGTTGCCTGGTGGCATTATGTTCTTTTTTTTTTTTGGATCGGTAGCATTATGTTCTTACGTTCTTACTTCCATGCACAATTTCGGTTTGTGTTATCCAGAGTCAGAGTTTTCTTGAATATTATAGTTGAAGAATCTGTCACAAAAACGTAACTGAGTGACTTGGAATGATAAGTCTTACACAAAATCAGCAATTCGGTATAAGTAGAGGAAATGATAAGCAATGTTTATGACGACCTAAACCCAAATTGGAATTCATTTAAAAATTGACTTTTTCATCCATGTAAACCCATTTAATAATTCTTTTAGTTGCTTTAATATGTGAAATTGCATCGCCTTTTTTGTTGTTGTGAAAGGCCTCTGCAGCACCCCCAACCTGGCACACTGATGAAGATCGTGTATCTGACTCGATTTTGTGTAGGAACCCGCGCTAATGGCCTTGGTTCGAACACGATAAAAGTGAAAACCCGCACTTACGGCCGTCGGTTTAACACGAAGAATTTACTCGAAAGCGAGCATTTTTTGTTATTTCTTATTTCATAATAATACAAATAAGAGTACATGAGTCATTTAATACTAACATGCGGTTATTAAAACCGACATGCGGTTATTAAAATTTGATAACTAACCTATTGATTTCAAATTTAAAAACAAAAGCTAATAAACTAACAAACTGCATGAAAACTAACATGCAAAACCATCATGTAAAACATCCTAAGAATTTGAATGGAAACTTAAATTAATTGCTGCAAAGCACGTGTCTTTGTCCAGGTACGCTCGATTGGCCCGGTTCTCATCATTCCCGACCCCTTCATGATTATCCTTGTCCTCAAGGATAAAAATTGAAAATTGTTCATGAACGTGGATTTTGCATGTTACCTCACTCTTGCTCGTTCTTCCAATTCGACGGGACCATGCCTCTCTTACACAACAATGTTTCGCCATCGTCATCCTTCCGATCCGGCGTGACCAAGCCTCCTCTCGTCCATATTGATTCAATTTACCGACGATCGAACCCTTCATTTTTTGAAATCGCCATGATCACACATTCTCACGGCCCTCGCCTCCATGAACTACCATCCATTTGAACATCGCTTCGTCTACACGGCATTGCCGAAGCAAATCATCATAAACAAATTCAACATTAGTTGGTACCAAACCAACTTCTTCATCCACCACGTTCAATAATAAAGAATATGATCCACATTCGTCCGTCTCATGGATCTCAACATCAAAAAGAGGCGGTCCTTCGTAATTGCTGGAAACTTCCTCGTCCGTGAACTTATCGTCGAACAAAGGTGGACCCTCGTACTCGATTTGCTCGATCACAAACTCGGCTACCTCGTCTTCAAAGTAGCCCGGTAAATCGAACGTAAACATGGGTTTTTCGTCAACGAATACCTCCTTGATCTTGGCTTGTCGTTCGGACTTATTCTTTAAATCCTTTCGCTCGTATAGCTCCTCCAAATACCTTTGCTCGTACGGGTTCAAACTTCTTTCCAAACCTTCCAATATTGCGAGATCCTCCCACTCCATCTCGTCCAATGGCTCGAAACACATGATTTTTTT